TTACTCCCTACACCTGAATCTGGTGTACAGGTTCCAAGATGCAGGTGGAGTGCTTGGCCGAATCTCATGACCCTCCATTATACTCATCAAAACTTCTACACTAAGTATCCAACCCATTTTATTTTTTCACGAATGGAAAAACTCTCCATTAAACTTGGGGAGTGGTTCTTTCCAGACGCTTCGTGTAGAGGCATCTGGAGTTGTCATCCTCTCTAAACGCTCTTGAATCGCTTGAAACCTTCGTGCTCCCCCTTTTAATTCTACACTCGTGGTCTAACTCTTTGCTCGTCTAACTCTCTGCTCAAAACCTAGATTTCATTTCAACTGATATTCATGGTGATATTTACTAAAATCATCAATAAATTCTTTAAATAACAGTTACATATTATTAACTAAGATACTGCAATAGGTTTAATCATTCTAAAATAACACAGATCTTTTGTACATACTACTTATACAAAAATCTTACATTGAATGTCTGTAACATCATTTTATATATATATATATATATATATATATATGTTTAAAGTTACAAAATAAAATTTAAATGTTTGGATTTTTTATTTTAGTTTAAAAAATAAATTTAAAACTTTTCAGTTATTTGTTAAAAGAAATTGTTAAAGTAAAGTTTATCTGTTTTAATTTTTTGAATTCAAAGTATTTACTTTCATTTATAAATTTATAGAATAATTAATTTTGGATTTTTATTTATGTTAAATATAGCACAAATGTCTTGCATGAAGGTTTTATATTCCTCATAAGTTATATGAAATACAAGAAATTAAAAATTAGTTAAAAAACAAATAGTTGAAAATTTTGAAAATTTTCTTATCATTTTTATCTTATTTATTTAATATTTTAAAGAAAAATTTAGTATCATGCATGAATATGATAAATTTTTTTGATGATGATTATCATTGATCTATGAAGATTATTTTCATAAAATAATTTTTTTCATTGATATGATCATAAACAAAATTTTACGATTAAGTAATGCAACAAAAAATAAATGTTTACGATGTCTATAAAAAAATATTTCTAAATATTAAATAAATAATCAAAAAACAATTAAAACTTGTTTTTTTGTCAAATTTTGTTTGTAAATAATTTTTTATATGAATTTAGATTAAATCACTTACATATATATAATGATTTTTTGATTAAAAAAATGATACAAATATGAAACAAAAACAAAACTTATCATACGTTTATGATTTCTTTACAACTAAAAGTGCTAACAATTTTTAATAATGTTGTGCAAATGAAACTACTCAGTTTGTTATTATGCTATGCACCTCCTACGCATTCACATTATCCTGAACCACGTGAATAAAATCGCCAGTTTTCAATTCTTCATGAATCTCATTTTTTCAGACGATTGCAGATAATGTCTTGTGTCAGTTAGTAGCCTAAACCATACCTGTACAAGAGTGTCATGCAACTCCTACGCATTCAATCTATCATAAACCACGTGAAAAAAATTGGCATATTTTAATTCTCCATAAATCGCATTTTTCAGACGATTGCAGACCATGTTTTGTGTCAATTCGTAGCCTAAACCATACCTGTACTAGAGTGTCATGCACCTCTTAAGCATTCACTCTAGCCTAAACCACATGAAGAAAATCTCCAGTTTCTAATTCTCCATGAATAGCATTCTTCATACGGTTGCGGACCATGTCTGGTGTCAGTTTATTCCAAAAACCATACCTACACTATAGTGTCATGCAACTCCTATGCATTCACACTATACCAAACAATGTGAAGAAAGTCGCTAGTTTTTAATTTTCCATGAATTGCAATTTTCAAACGGTTGTGGACCATGTCTGGTGTCAGTTCGTTCTCTAAACCATACATATACTTAGAGTAGCCAGATCGGCTGAATAGATAAACGATATTAAATTTTTATTAAACTTTTTTATTTAAAATATTATATTTTTTTACCTCAAAGTTCAATCAATATTAATTGAGAAGTAAAAATGTTATATATTCCTTATCACAATGTATTTTTCTTACATTTGTTATATATGAGATGTGGACAACATAATGAGTTATGTATATTATTTATTTCTAAATTATTATAAAAAAATTTATATTTATTATTTAATTTTAAGAAAACATCAATAATTTTTAAAAAAATTATTTAATATTTGAATTTTTTTAACTATGGACGATAAATTAATTTATTGTTCTAGAAAATTTTGATGATTGTTTTATTTTTAACATAAAAAATTTAAAAATAAATTAGAGTGATTTTTAAATGAAATGAATTTTTTGTTTATTTTAAAAATATTTCGAAAATCTTCTGATTATAATAAAATATAGAATTCAAACAGCAAATAAAAATCGATATATTACATACGACTTAATATTTATTGATCGTAGTTTTTAAAATTTTTTTTAAAATATTTTCACAAAAAATTACATTATAAAAAAAAATATAAATATAAATTTTAAATATCTGGAATATTCAACTTCACAACATATTCAAAATAGGGGAAATTAATAATAATAATATATATAAATAAAATTTAATGATATTTTTTTAAACTATATGCTTCAGACCTTAAAATAAATATTTAACCCATTATAAATTTTGGATATGATTTTTTGAAATAAATTATTATTATTTTAAGTTAATTCAGAAAACGATGTTTTCATATTTTACATTTTTGTGGATATTCTTTGAATGATATGTTTAAAATATTTTTTTGATAATCTTTAAATTATATAAAAAACAAGAAATAATACTTAAATTAATAAATATGGATTTTAATTCTTCAAAAAATAGGATTAAGATATTTTATATTTTATATTTATATTGAATTAAATATGTAAAACTTATTATTTTTATTTTATTTCTAATTAAGAGAATGAAAAAATTAAAACTTTTTAAATGTTAATAAATATTCTGTTATTATATACTTTGATTATTTTAGCTTAAATAGATAGATTAGAAATGTGCCAAATTTTTTCAAGACTGTGAAATTAAGAGTTTATTTTTGCATTTTAAACAAATGTAAATAAATTATTTGATAGATATGTACAAATTAAAATTATTGCAATTCTTTTTCTATGATTTTAAATTTGTATCTTTAATTTACAAAAAATTTGAATTGTTCAATTTTTTTATTTTTTTGTATGTTTCAATTATATTTTTTAAATATTTACCATTTTTAGAATAATACTCTCAAAACGATTTCAACATATAATTATTGAAAAAAATTTAATTTTGTATGATAGAAAACGATGAAAATATATAAAGGTTTTATAATCATTATGTAAATAATTCATAATTAATAAATTTGAAAGTCAATCATTTATTTAAAAAATCTGTGTTTTATTATTTTTATTTTTTCCCAAACACTTAAAATTATGCAAAATTATTTTCAAATTTTTGAATTTGTTTGTTAACTTTAATATAAACTTTTAGATTGATAATTATTTAATTACAAACAGAAAAATCTAAAACAATGTTGAAAAACCCTGATTTCTATAGAATACACTTTTTTAATTTTTGATTTAAAAATTTGATATCAAAAATCTAGTTCATCATATGAATTTTAGTCTAAAGCTATGGATTTCACAATACATTTGATAAACCCTTTTAGTAATCAATTTTTTGACACAAAATCTAGTCTATCATATCAAAAATCTGCTCACTAGGTGTTGCAACAATGCAATTGGACTTACGAGCACTTAGTGTCATCAGCCTGAACTCTGAACCTCCTCAAGCTTCATCATTATCTTTCTTATTATCCATGGGGATTCTAGAATCTAGACTTTAAGGTTGTGGACACACATCAATACTTAAAGTATCCAATTTAGTTAGCAATTCTTTATCTTGAACTTTCTCACCAATTGAGCTTTGATCCTGCCTTCCACTCAGTCTAGACAAGGTATCAGGTTGTGCTGGGTGTCCTTGATGACCTCTATTTGCCTGCTTGATGCCTCTCAAGTAGGTCAAGCAGATCACAAAGGAATCTAATGATAGCTCTACCATCCACCTTCTAGTGCATATATAAATCTTCAGATAATAGTGTTATATGCTAATGATAAGGTCAAAACCCTAGAACTATGCACTTAGATTAACTTACTTTGGATGTATACCCTACCTTGGTCTAGGTTATAAGGATAAACTCTTAGATTATAGAACTACACTAGTCTATACATGGACAAATCAACTTATATAAGGCTTTAACATCCAAGCTCAACTCTCCTTAGTCATCGAAGTTAATATCAAAAGAGATTCAAGCACTAAGGAAATAGCTAACCAACTACAAGCTACTTTTACTTCCAACTAACAAAAGAAAATCAGAAGTAAAGCACATCAATGATCTATACAGATAACATTCTAAGTAAAACATAGCCCTAACAAACAAGATTCTATTATCTTTTACATATGGGAAAGAATTATCTCTGTTCCCAGTACGCAGTGTGGTTGGGGCAAACCACACATCTCATTCAATTTTTTGGAAATTCATGTCATTGTGGTGGTAGATCTTTGCCTGCAATATATATATATATATATATATATATATTCCTTAAAGCCCGTTTTCTTCTTTCTCAAACCGAGTAGCAAATCTGACATTAGGTTTTGAGTCTAATCTCATTCCACTTGCTTCCGGAGCACAAGAGTCACAAATCTCTCAAAAAGAATCATTTGTATGCAACTTTGGAACAAGAAATGAAGAAGCTTATGTATTCCAATAATGTTTAATTTGAAAAATATGCGCATATACTTTGCAAGCATTTCCAACTTCCAAAGCATACACTTCTTTACGTATTTATTAACAAAGATAACCACCTTACTACGATTTTTAGCTTGGTCCAAATGTGTCCAAATATATGCCATCAAGTGCTTCTTGACATAATATAGAGTTTTGCGCAACACCTTCTTCTTCATTTTGTGATGAAATCTAAACATTGGTTTTTCCTGAATATCTGCAGGGTTTATATAATAATTCATGTAGCAATACAGTTTCATGATCTCTTTACCTGATATGTCCATTTTCGATAATAAACAGTGTGAAGCTTGATCATATTTTCGAACTCACCAGCTCAATGTGGGCCATAAACTTTTGATATTTGGATTTCGATAATAATAGTTCGTAAGGATGTCGTTGGGATTGAATCATTAGCAGCAGTGCAAGATGCTCATATTGTCTTCCATGAATTATTATTCATAGGCTGCTACTAGTCCCGACCATGCTCTAATGCACTATGAGCAGTAACACTCATGCAATAATCCTCTACATAGAACTCCGTACACTGCAATTGTTCCCAACTACAGATTCAGCTATTGTGCCAAATATTGCCTTAGTTCTCATCTATTGAGCACTCAAAATTGTGTGATATATACATTTGAAAATGATCAGTTGCAAGAAGTTTACTCTCACTGGATTATATTAAAACTATAAATTAGATAAAACTCAAATTGTTGACTCTACTTAAGCAATGAAGTAAATGGGTACACATGTATCGTAAAGTGAATTGCTAAAAATTTACTAGAATATATATAAAATCTCGAAGGAGGAGTCGGGATTTTTTATTAGCAATGTACAGCCATATATTTTATTTTTCTTAAGCCATGAAGTAAATGAGTAGTCAAGTAACTAAATTTCAATCTGCCCAATGAATTGCTAGAAGGCCCGAACAACAATATATTTCAGCTGTAAGAATCTCATCATAATAGATTCGCAAGCGTAGAGATTGTAGAGTTTCTTTGAGCAGAATATTACGCTATGGAAGCAAGAACTGATTCACTAAGTACCACATTACTATTATCATTGAAGAAGAGAATGTTCCAGTCAACGTACAAAATGAACCGCCGACTCGCTCGTCCTTCCTCAGCACCTGCCGGGCTCGAGTCAGAGGTACTCGGGGAACGCTGAGAAGGTGGACTGAAGGTAGTGTGGGCTCATCGACACTTTGTGGGTAGATGAGGCCAGCCCCTACCAAATCACAATACAGTCTGTACTGAGGTAGATTTGCACACCTGTTCATCGTCCAGTCAAAACACCGATCGATCCTCTGTATGTATACGAGCGTCCTTCTTGGAGGATTTATACTCCTGACGCTGAAAACTTTTTTCTGAGGATAAAACTCTTTATAGCCTCTGCATTGTAATTCCTTCAGTACGATGTCTGTACAGAGTATGGTTGAATCCAAGGGGTTATGTCGGTCTGCGGGGTTAATGGGTGGGACAGAAGGTACTGTGTCACACTGGTGGTGGTGGTGGTGAAGGTGTGCCTATATGAGGCTAATCTTCTCGTTCCATCGAAGTCGACATCTCTGTACTTACTGTCTTCGTTATCAAAGCAATATTTCAAGCTTCCGTCAAGCAGTGCCCCTTTATCTCGCTTTCCTTTTGACTTGCGCTTGATGTGATGTGTGGTGTGGTGTGGTGTACCTAGCAAATCGACCTCTTCAAAGTCAGTACGGAGCAAGCTCATTCTCAGCAATGCACGACACAAACATGCCGACGTCGGGTCTCCAGCCAGCCTCCAGCTCTGATGGCCAAGGAGTCTTCCATTCTGACTGCTGGGCAGTAAGTGAATGTGGTCCCGAAGGTGATTTTGCTGTGAAATAACTCTTCCATGCCTTTCTGCTCAAGCTTCCTCAGCATCGCTCATGTCAAAAGAAAGGAGAATGAAAATGGCCTCTCCACTACTCCCGGTCCAGTCAAACTACATGATCTAAAAGATCAGCACCAAATCCATGGTAAAATAGCTCGTAAGAGCTGTTGAAGGAAGGAGGAATTCTCGTCCTCGGGGTATTTCTTGGAGTATGCTCGTACATGCAATGAAATTGCCAGGAGCAAGGGTTTTCCTATAAACGTATGATTTCGGTCGCTGAAATACAGAGTAATCGCTATTTGAGCTTAAGAGGGCATCATCGTATTGCACCCGAGGACATGGGAGTGATGTCTGTAGACGTCAAGAGGATTTCTGTTATGAACAAAGATCAGGTGGTTGGTGATAAGGCTGGACTCCGAATTCCGAGGATTCGCGAGAGTTTTGACACATTCACAACCGCAGGGCAGGCAGGCAGGGCAGGGCAGCATTCGGCTAGGCATGTGTGGATGCGTTCCTTGTCCGCTGCACATGCCACACTTTTTGCGGTGATGTGGAATCTCATTATCACCACGTCGTTGGTGCCATGAAACTCATCGACTTTCTTTCGCAGCCCACGAAGCGATCTTGAGTCAATAATTGAATATGAGGTTTACAAAGAAGATGGTCGCTCGCTCCCTAAGTTAACCGAAAATCAACTGAATTCGAGGTGATTTATGACCGATGAATATGCCTCAAATCACCTGCTGGTTGTTTCATTGCTCTTCTTCATTTTTCCTCCTCCAGACTAATCTCTTCATGTCTGGCGAGGCCTCTTTCCTCCTCCGGGAGAGACGCAATTTTTCTCAGACGGTGTAAAGCTTCGATCCAAAATGACGAGCGAGGTGATGATTATTCCGGGGAGAGACAGAAAACTTTTCCATCCTAAAGCTGAGGAGGAGATATTGATCACGAGGGTACTTTGAGATCTTACAGTGGCTTTAAGTGCTGCGCTAATCTCTTCCGAACAGATGGTATTGTGGTCAGCTGTCTCGTCTCGTCTCATCTCAGGGTGAAAAAGGCTAATTCGTGAAGAGCGAGCATGGATGGTCACAGGCTCCAACTGCGAGATGAAGAGGGGAGGGGAGGGGAGGACCTGAGGTATAATAGCCTTGGCGTAGCATCAGAGCCTACCTGATCTAATGCCAGGCGTAGCACATTGTGGGCAAGTAGCCGCGAGATATTCCAGGCAGGCTTTTGGCAGGTCCCATGGCCTGCCTGTGACATCCAATCCTCTAGCATAAAACTACAAAGTGCCCTTCTTGTACGGAGATGCCATCGACGAAATTCCAATTTGGCAGCTTTAGATTTAGATTCACCAGATTGCGCAACCTGGTTTTATTGGTGAATACTTCTTGGTATATCTTTTCCTGGCAGCTCGGACTGGCGTGCTCTGCTGAGAGAGCTGTGTCCTTGGACACGGATATTGCCACGTACCCCATCACTCGTCTCTTCTTCCTCCTCGCTCTGGTGACGTTTTTCTTTTGCTGAATTATTGCATCTCTGGACGTAACCCACAAAAATGGCAGCGATTTGGGTCAGATAAAGTTACATTTCTCCTCGCTGGTAGAGAGAGAGAGAGAGAGAGAACTGACTATGCAACAGATCTGACTTTAAACCCACATGTTGCGATCACGACCGATGAGGCGACGCATGATGTGAAAGCCGAAATCTAAGACCGTCTCAACACTTGCCAAGAATATGTGCACGACTGAAGGAGCCTCTTGTTACTATGCGGCTTATTCAATTAAAATCTCTCGGAATTACATTTGATGATTTAGGAATTATCTATTTTACAGTCAGATTAAAATTTGAAATATTTTATGAAACAAAATAATTCAGTCTATTCATAAATATATAATATTCAAAATAATAATTAATATTTAAAAAATGTAGAAATGAGTTTAGAATAATCTAGAACTGTTTTTTACTATCATTATTTTATTTCGATTTGACTTCAAGTTCAATACAAGTTCGAATCTGTTTATATTAAATAATAATTGGACGAAAGTTATAATCATAATAAACATCAACTAATCATAAGAACATTTGCAATCAAGACATAGATTTCTCTAGCTTCCAAAAATTGAAAAAAAAAAACCAATTAGGCCAGATTCCTTTAAAATATAAAAATTCAATTCATTTTGCTACTTACAAAACTTGAATAAATAAGTAGAAGACAAAATGACGGACAACAAAAATGATTTATCACATGTTAAAGTACTCAAATAAATGTTTTTCTGATAGATTGAGATACATTACTTTTACATGACAATTTTTTATTTTTAAGACAAAATAAAATTAAATAATATATTAAATGAAAGTCAATGAAAACCATATAGTTACTGATATATTCCAAAAAACTCTGAAATTTCATAAAAATGAAAATTACATTTCTAACATAATCTTGCAATGATATAACTATATTCTATATCCTTGCCATGAACACGTGTGTGATATATTTAAATAATTCTATATGTTATAATATAAAATCTATAACCCCTATGGAACAATCTAAAGCATTTTCTTTCCATATTAGATCATATGAAAGAAGAAAATGGAGAAGAGTGTAATCTTTATACATTATCTTTTTTGCGATTATAAGTTCAAGAATGAAATTTTCATTAAAAATTTAATTTCTCTTTAGAAATTTGAAAAATACAGTTGAATTAGATCATTGACTGGATCTCAAATTTTAAAAACTACATAAATAAAGATTGGAATATGATAGAAGGACCTATAATATAAAAGACTGTTCTACAACAATGTAAATTACGGATAATTACACATCTAGATTTGATCTTCATATGCCTTAAAATATCACAAATCATATTTAAAGTCTCTCTGTCTAGTTCATGCTATCCTTACATGAATGAAGACTAGAGAATAAAAATGTTCAACTTCTTTGTATTCAGTGAAATTAAATCAGTATTTATTTAACACACATCCTATCCATCATGAAGACTGTCCTCAGATCTTACTTTAGCTTAGGATCATTCGAAAACTTTAAAAACATCAAATGATATCCTGAGCAATCAGATACTCTATGGTAACATCAGGCGGTGTCACACATTGACTGAAACAGACAAATGAGTAGCCATAATTTACCCAGTGATTGGCATTCTTACGTTAGACATTGATATGTCTAACGTAAAGTACAATGTTTGTTATAATAGGGTCTACATAAGAGGCCTGTCGCCCAAAAAAATCCTGACCAAATTGTCATGATCAAAGATTGGGGTAACATGTAGAGAGTCTTGTGGCAGGAAGGGACTAACCAGGAAAGGGTTCTCTCTTGGGACAGAATTACTCGTGCGCAATAAATCCGCCTCTCGGTCACTATCCGGTGAAATGAAATGTATAATTACCACGACGGCGCAATAAACGCTTGTTCTCTCGAGCATCCGTCCGCCATAAAACTGAAGTGACGGCGGTTTGACTGCGCAGGAAACCGAAACGCAGTAATCACGGCTTTGGCGCCGGAAGGGCCAACGGCGTCTGCCGCAGGGCTCGACTGCACGGTCAGTTCGTTACAGCGCCGTGCGAATGCGCATCCGTCGAAGCCAACTGCGCGTGGCTGACTGGATATCGTCGCACGGACTGACTGCACGGTAATCGCAACATCCGTCGTGCATTCGCTTTTCGGTAAACTGCCTCAGAGCCGAGGTGTCTCCCTCTGTCACCGGCTGCGCTCTCTGCTCCCTTCCTCGGATTCGGGATTTGAGCTGTCTTCGCGATGTTGCTCCGTCCACGAGAGCCGAAACTTCCTGCAGTCGCGATTGCTCTCCTTGTCTCTCTGTCAGTCTTCCTCTCCATCGTCCTCTCTGTCAGTCAGTCAGTCAGTCGATCCGTCAGTCCGTTGGCTGGCTCCGTCCGTCCAGGGGGGGAATAGAGAGAGTTTTTGGCGAGAGAGCGAGCGCCAGGAGGGAGGAAGAGAGTGACGAGCAAGAGGAGGGAGGGAGGGGAGTAGGAGGGGGAGGAGCAGCAGGTCGGATCATCTGGAGGGCCGTAGAAGAAGATCGTCTGGAGCTCTTTGTTTCTTTCCGCTGCTCGAGACCGTCGCGGAATTTGCATCCTCTTGCCGCTTCATTCCATTGCTTCATCGGCTGTTCCATCGACGGCACCTGTGGAGTCGGAGCGCGCCTCCGATCTCAGAGCACTTTTCGTCATGAGGTGAGCCGCGAACGGCATGGGCTGGGATAGGATGCGATGCGATGCGATGGAGTTGTCAGGTGTCGGTTGTTTATTTTTCCGAGGATTTTTTCGTGAGTTGTCGGTGGCGGCGAACAAATTTCGTTGCTACTGCTCTCCGGGCGCTCGTTGTGCTTGCGTCGCCCGTGGAAGGTTTCAGGGGCTTGGTTTTGTCGCGAGGATTAGGTCTTGGGGGTTGGGGTGGGAAGAATCCTGTTTGGAAAACCCCGAACGCGCTCGATGGTGTGGCCGGGGTTCCGCGAAGTGGCTCCGAGTGTGAAAATTTTGCACCAGATGAGGATTTTTTTCGGTCGATTGTGTTTAGGGTTGAGCATTGGGAGATGAGTAGGGTTTGGGGTTCCCGTGGACCGTCTATTGACGACGAGGAATCGCGTCGCTCCCTCCACGCGGCTGCATGTTTTGCGGCTCGCAATTTTTCTTCTAGATTTGGAACCTTGCCTTTGATTGGAGGCGTTCGTGTCTGCTTGCATAGATGACATTTTTGACGGGAAACCTGGTGATCATTCGTTTTATTGAGAGCATTTGACAGTTAAGTTCCGCCGGTTGGGCCCTGTAACGGAATCTCGTGCCGAGGCCTTTTTTCGCCACCCGGATTACGGACCTGATTACTGCCACCGGGCTCTCCTATTAGCTCTTTCATTTATATTGCTTCGTTTGGCTTGCTTCAAAATGATGGACAGGCATCCCGAGGTTGTTTGGGCTCAACGTACAGACAAGGTGTTTCTCACTGTGGAGTTGCCGGATGCGAAAAACCCGAAAGTGAAGCTTGAGCCCGAGGGCAAGTTCACCTTCTCTGCAACCGCCGGGACAGACAATCAACTGTATGAGCTCGATTTGGAGCTTTTCGGAAAAGTTAATGTGGATGTATGATCTCTCCCCTACTCTGGAATTTACCGAGCTCTGAATTAGAGATTGCGCCGCCCATCTCCTCACATTCCTCTTGTGATGTTCGATCATAGGAATTGTTTCTTCGGTGTTTAATGACACGAAAGATGAGTTTCTAGTGGCGCCTCTGTGGTTGCGGGCGGTCGTCATGGTGCTTATTGGCGTCAATTTTTACCTTGCAGGCCAGTAAGATCAACATTGGTCTCCGTCATACCTTCGTCGTAATTGAGAAAGAAGACAAGGGATGGTGGAAGAGGCTGTTGAAGCCTGAGGGGAAATCACCTCCCTACATCAAGGTTGACTGGAACAAATGGGTTGATGAGGATGAGGAGAAGGACGCACCCAGCCGTAAGAACTGATCGCAAGCCAGTCTTTTGGTCTGGTTTAACGTCCGCCATAACGAAGCCTGTCTGAGTTGTGTGGGCATTTTGCGGAAGTTCATTTGCTCTCGAAATAAAGTTTGGTTCTTCCCTTCGTTTTATTATCTGACAAGCACCGTGATGTTTGGAATTTCCATGCAGTTGATAACTTCGACCTCGGAGGCATGGACGATCTCTCGGTATGATACTTATAATCCGATTTTGCTCGTCTATTATAATTTCAAATCCTATGACTGATTTCGAGAACTTGATTAGTCCTGTCGTCTACATGCCTTACATATTCCTGTCTGGTTGTGTTCTGCAGAATATCAACATGGGCGGGGATCAAGACAGCGATGATGAAGGTATGCTTTGTAAGTTTATGCTTATCAAGTCTTAGCCCTAGACTCGGAGTCCTTATAGTTTCTACTATTGTCACTTTCAATCCGTGTTATTGTTCATCTTGTCTCTCTGGGTGTGTGTCGTTTCAAGACTGTCACTGGTGTGTCAAGTTTGCAGACTGAAAGGTTCACAGCATTCCGAACCACAAAGTTTTCAATGGCCACGGACGTAAGAAGTCGATTACCGCGGTGGTTGATGTTTTGTTTAGAAATTTAATTGTGGGTCGAAAAGCGACAGTGACGGAGTTCGCAAGGCCTAACCATTTGCTTTTGTGTTTGCTCATCTTCTTAACCGAAGCGGCTGGAAATAAGGTCTCTTAACCCTTGAGTTCAGACTAGAGGTCGTGAAGAGCTGTTTCCCTCCCGCGTCTGAACGCGTTTTCTGACATGGGATTGAATGTTCACTTCGAAATCGTGGCGATGTAATTTGTTCACTTGGGTTTGCCACGCTGAATGTGCAGATCTTCCGGAGCTAGAGAGTAAACCTTGAAAAGCTTCCGTTGTATGTGGAGACGAAAAACCTGTAAGAGGTGGTATCGAATGTTCAAAGTCATGATACAGATAGCTACATCGCTAGAGCACACGGCAATTGTTGACAACATCTATCTGTACTCCGCCCTACGTATCTCCTCTGAGTGCCGCAGTGTGGCCAGGCGAAGAACGGATCAGCAGGCATGCTCTGTTCTAGTAAGGTGATCTAGGATATGCGCTCTTTCAAGGTTCTCTGCTAGTACCGATGACTCGGAATTCAAGGGCCTAGAACGTGCCGATTCAACCTTCGTAGTTCTGAGGTTGTGAGTTTGGAAGCAGATATAGTGGACTCTACCAAGACGTGTAGATCAGGCTCTTTAAAGGAGCATAAATTTTATCTGCTTTTTTGAGTAAAGTTGGCTGTCACAAAGATCCAGGAAGTTTCTTGGAACAATCTCGTCGCGAAGTTGTGTTTGAGGCTTTTCTGTGTGCCAATGACTTCCCACTCATGCTTCAGATTCTTTTGTCTGACGTGGTGGGTCACAATTACTTAGTCGTGACTCGAGGTGGTTAAGTGGCCTCGTTCATCGTATCGAATAAGTCAACTGCACATCTTGAAACTGATCTCCATTCTGAGGCGATTTTTTCAAATTCAGTGGACGAACCTTAAGCTCGATACCTGTGCTCCTGTATTAGTCTCCTCTTGTGCAAAGACAATCGATTTTAATCTTTTATACAGATTGTTTGACAAATATTACTTCTGAGCTTTTGTCGTTATTGCGCCTGCACATGTTAGGTGCTAGGAATTGCCGAGGGCAGGGAACGAGTTCCCCCCTAGCGTCCAGAAGAGACTCAACTTAACCAGACTCAGCTTCTGAAAGGGCAAATTCCCAGCGCAGATTATTTCAAGTCACGGCCAATACTCGTACAAGGCTCTAACAGAGTGCGAAATACAACATTGCATCAGAGTCACGGCCCATCAGCACCAGCCTTCTTCATTTCTCTAGTTCAGATGAAGAGGATCCTTTGAGAATGTTGCGAATGGTATCGTGTCTGAACATTGGAGCACAATGCTCCGTTAGGGCCGACCAGTGCATTCTAACATGACATGAAAATCCTCCCGAGGAGATCAGCGGAATCGCTGATCAGACAGACTGGCCGTCATTCCTGACGGCTGGCGAGGCCTCCTAGATGTGACAAGCGGTCAACAGTAAAGCTCCAGGTGTACTTCAATTCTGCTCGCGTTTATCGACGAGCCGTCACTTCTCCTCAGGCCAACTCAGACAGCCGATCAGAGTCTTCAGGCTCCAGAAGCTCCCTGGGGCCTGAAGGGTCCTCCTCCTGATCCTCCTCCCAGATTCTACAGATCTGCTCAGCTCGCCTAGGCAGGGCATGGGGCCGGTCGCAAAAAACCCTTGTCCCAGCAGCAAGTAGGACGTACACCATGAGCACTGATTGATCTCTTCTCAGAATTCTCGTACTGCAGTCCGTCCGCTTACGAACTTCGACACGTGATCTGCGTATAAAAGTACACATGCGTTTCGAAAGTCGAACCTCAGAGTGGGCCAACGAAGCGACAACTACGAAGCTCGAGACCACTGGACCAGCTCCCCCGTACACGACATCATCGAGTACATCGCCCCGGAAACCAAATCGACCGCCGAATTCCCAACCTCAGTTCTTGGCACGCACATCAGACCGCACTTCTTCGTGCTGAGAAGAATATCGCACCGTATGTGTCTCTGTACTTGGCGAGCTCTTCCACCTCCCGAGGACGTTTGTCGAAGCAAGCAGACCCAGACTCAGCTCAGACTCAGACCCGGACCCCTGTCCAACTACTGCCCGTGACTATCGATGGTCGCTGTTCTTCGACCTTGTTGAGCTCTGACCTCTCGAAGATGTTCGTCCTCCGCGACAGTCTGACATGCGCTGCGGGTCTGTGTGGTTCAATCGATCGAGCAGATATCCAGCTCGGACTCTGGGCCCCGTCCTGGTCCAGCTAGCCTGCCTCAATCACTGCCTCACTCAGTGCCTGGCGCAACTTGGTAGTGGTCACAAGATCCGAACCTCGGGAATGCGTGGAGTGAGAAGACAGTGAAGGATAAACTTCAGTCGGAGTGATGTCGTGTTTGGTTTCTCTTCTTTGTCGGATGAATGATTGACTGATCGAGATTGAGAATACCGAATTGCAGACCACCAGTGGAGTGGAGTGGAGAGGAGAGGGTACGGGTACCCAACAGCTTCTTCTGAACACACGTCTCTCTGCCCATGACCATGAGAGGTCATGACACAGATGCAGGCCATAACGAAGTGCACGACGACAAACGAGGTCATTTCATTTCATGACATTTCCTTTGAGTCTGCCAACAGAAGTAACCAGAGGAGACGAGACGAGACTTGATTGATGTCGACAGAACCTTCGCTTTTCCAGGCTTTCAGAGCACTTCTGGCATTGGAGACTGGATGGATGCGGTTGAAGGGCCACCAGATGCTTTCCAGAGATATTTCCATCATGCTATCCTAAACAATAGCATAATTGACGACTCCAGAACCTTCGGTGGGACAGGGCATCGGTTAACTCTTTCTTTTGATGGCAGCGTGTTGTTATGTAGACTTTGCATCCAAATCAACTTATGGACTTTAAAGTGCGTGCACCAAATATTGCAACTTTTGTTCCATCCCCAGACCTTAGAATTGAACTCGAGGTTTATGCATAGAGGGAGAGGTCATTTTATTATTGGAGTTATGCAAGTAGAGAGAGAGAGAGAGAGAGTAGTTGAGAGCAACTCATGCTACGCCAGCCGTTGATCGAATGCACAAACAGTTTGCTAGTGAGTATCCATCGTTCTATATCCAGCAATGTTTATATTTTTTACTTACGTACTGTATAAACTTAATTAATTAGTTACTTATGATATATTATAAATAGTTTACGGTTGTGATGTATATCAGGAGGAGTTGGCTATTATGACTTGATGGGAAGATTTTAAGTCTTTTAGCTTCACTACTCGGGTCGTTACAAAGCCTTGCAATGGCGTAGCTTCTTCCGACAGAAGGCATGCATCGATCATGGTCAGGCGAGCAGGTTCCTCCGGAAAGATAAATTTCGGTTTCATTCAAAAGAGAAATAATTTTCTCTCGAATCGGGCTCCTTGATTTGGCTTGGCGTACAGAGTGATGTAGCTTGATGAGGAGCTTGAATTAATTGAGAACTGGAGAAGCAGGACACCGTTCCAGGCACTGCTCTGTGATATGAACGATGCGCTCACTCGAGTAGGAGTGTCAATTCGAAAGGAAGTTGTCGGACCTCTTGCCTTGTCGTCTTCTGGATCTGCTCGGCTTCAGGTGGATCTGCTTTTCAGCAGCCACGAGGCTGATTGCTGTTTCTTACTGCACCCATCGTTGTGATCAGTGTGGTCAGCAAAGCCTCGACCACTGCTAATTGCCAGCGAATCTGGCGACAAATCCAACGGCACTGATCTAGTATCAGTTCTTCTCCAGATATTTCTGACCGACCTTTCATGTACTGATTGATGAGAGCCACCGCGAGGCGAGATAGCATATAATTACAGATGAACATTCTTCCACTTTCAATATCAGTCTTCTTGGCGTTGGGAACTGAAAATAAAATGCGAGTTGGAACAACAACAACAACCTTCCGTAAATTTCGAGGTTCTTCGCATATCACAACCAAAATTAGTTTCAATTATAAGCTACCTCAAGCAGTTTAGAAGTTTTGACATTTTCCAATTTTTTTCATATATCGTTGAATATATATATGTATATATATATATCTTTGCGCTTGGGGCAATGACGCAGTTAGTGAGGTGAAACCGAGACGCGTCAATTGCTGGTTGAAAACTATTTCCAAACTATAGCTAAGATTTATACACACAGAATTCCTATTATTAAATCAGTAGGGGAAAACCGAAGAATATAAAACACTCATCTAAAATGTTGAAAATTATAAACTCATCACTAATTTTATTCAGAGAAAAGATTTTCCTTTTCCGAAGTTGGAAAATTCTGACGCTTTTTTCCGTAAATCAGAACTTTATTTTATTTTTCGGAATTAGAACTCCATGATGGTTTGTGCCAAAATGTAATGTTCATTACATCTGTAAGTGGTTTAATTTGCTATCAGAACATACCAAGCAGTGGAATATTATACGGTGCAGTTGATGAACACATTCCACCTCGAAAGCGAAACTTGCATGAGGACACGGACTTCTGTGGAATCAATCAGAGAAGCCATTGTTGCACGAGGAAGAAACGGCTGCCCTTGTGGCACTGCCACGTTGTCTGTCTTGGTCGTGGCGTTGTTGGACGTGGTTCGACCCATCGAATCTACTCCGTCGCCTCAACATCAACGTAGTCGGAATATAGTCCCGAATATTCACAACTGTGGACCGATTGATCCCGGTTCCCGCAGTCGAGCAGTTCCTTGGATACGTTGGCTACGGTTGTCAGGTTACCACGTTACTGTCACGGAGTAGGAAGTGGCTACCACGTTACTCGTAGCTCGCGTAAGATCTGCTGGAGAACAGTCGGATCCAACGGAGAAAGCGCTGGGGAGGAGAAGAGGCAGCAAGATGCTTCAGACGGACCAGCGGTCCCGTGGAGGAGAAGAGAAGATCAGGTCGGTCCACATAACCAACCGCCCGACGCCGTTAGCTTCGAGCGCGGGGTTGCCGCCGGTCACCCTCCGCGTGGCGCCCGGTGCATGACCACCAGGGCGACCCACCTGTCGCGCCACGGCGGCCGCCAAGTGGCAGGCGACATCGGCTCGCGCAGCTGCCCCCGCCTCGCCTCAAGAGCGGCGCAGGCCGAAGGCGAAGGCGAAGGCGCGAGAGCCAGCGAGATGAGAAGTTGGAGCTGGACGAGCATTATTCCCACGGCCCGAGGAATCGATTTCGAGGAGCTGGAGCATTTGTGTCGATGGCTTCGTTCAAAGCATCGCTTCTGCTGAAGCACAAGCTCCCTGCCGCTACAATCTCGTCGTCCGCAGCTTCGAGGCTCCCCGTCGTCGCTGCTGCTGCTGCAAGAGCAGGCTGCGTCTCGCACGAGAAGCCCGAGAAGGCGATCGAGAGCGCGCGGAGGATCAGCAGCAGCAGCAGCAGCAGAATTGCGACCTTCTGCGGAGCTCCTGCACCGGAATTCGTGGCGAATTCAACTTGGGCCTCGACGGCGACGACGCCTCCGGCGTTCGTGCAGCAGCTGAGCTCGAGAGCGCACGGAGCGCTGGGCGTGCAGTCGATCTTCTCACCGGAGGTCGGCCCCGATCCGTCCGAGGCGCCGGCGCCCGCCATAACCCCGTCTCCGCCCGAGTTTGCGCCCACTCCTGCCCCGAGCACGAACCCGAGCTCGACGCCTCTGGAGGTTCCGACCACAAGCCCAGCCCCGGAGTTTGCCCCTTCCATCGTGCCGGACCTGCCCGCGCCTCCTCCGTCTCCCCCGGTCGAGATTCCCACCTCGACGCCCGCCGAGTCCCCGACGCCACAAGCGCCTCAGGAGGTGCCTACTCCAGCCCCCGGGCGAGCCCCCGCCGAAGCCCCGATGCAGTCCCCGTCCGCCTCCGCGTCCGCTGTCCCGCGAGGGCCTCCGATTTCGCCCCCCAACGTTTCCCCCATCATGCCCCCGGGGGCTCCCGAGCCGATCCCCCCTCCCAACATGCCTCCCATCCCGCCCCCGGGCACTGCCCCGCCCATCCCCCCGCCCAACTCGCCCCCGATCCCCCCGGGCTACCCAGGCCCCCTGCCTCCCCCCACGCAGCCCCCGAGCTCGCCGCCTCCTTTCCCCGGCCCCGGGATCCCCAACACTCCCGGCCCGTCTCCCCCCGGCCCCGACACCGTGCCGCCTTCCATCATCGCCTCCAAGGACGATCGCGTTCTTCTGGCCTAGCCTCGAAGCGAAGCCCGAGCTCGCGCTCTGTGTAATATTATTTTTTTGTTCGACTCGCGAATGCTTTTGTACAGATTAGATTGTATTCTGATTAGTGCAGGCTTGGTGCACTGCCGATAGATGTCGGACGAGGCCCTAGGGGTTAGTTTCAGGCGGAGCAGCGTCCTTGAAGCAGTCGATTTGCCAGTCCTCTCTTCTCTTCTCGAGAGCTAGCGACTGACGCATGCTTCGACGACGATGCACTGTCTGCTTTGTACCGTGAATTGAGTGTCCGTGTCGTTGTACAATTTGACAACTCGATGTAATTGCTTACTTCTTTCCGGACTTCTTGTGCTGAGTTGCCTATCTGCTCATCTGCCGCTGGCTGCGCTTCATGCTTGAGCTTTTACAAAATATCGTGTCTTCTGGCCAGCAATTGCCAACTTTCACTGTGTAAGGCAAACGAGCATTCACTTTCACTTCTGGACGCTGAGTAATAAGATCCTGAGGTTGAGGACAATTAGCAAATGGATGAATCTTCAGAAAGTGATATGAACAGGAAGTCTAGCGATGGTGAATGTATAAACACTGTCTGTTGAAATTTTTTTACATGCTTATAATTGTGGAAAGATTTAACTTACAAATTTTCCACAACCATTTTTTTCAGTCACAGAGTAATCTCAGATATGACAGAAAAATAATAATCTCCATAAAACTGAACACGCCTTTTCTTAAGCAATTATCGATGTTGTGAAGATACTTGCAAAGAATTTGGCAATCAATCTTATACCTAAAACCGACACAAATCCTTTGCAACTGCCATCCGTGAACATTTGAAATTCTTTGTGTCGTATATCTCACTCTCTAATCTATTCAAATCCCACTGATAACCTGAAAAGTAACAACATATCGGAATTATGATAATATATGAACGGTTACTTTCAAAATATAATTATTAAATTCTCATAATATTCTCCGACCATTTGTCATGTGAATGTACATCAATCCTATTTTGATTAGTTGCTTCTTAGTCCAGGCAAATGTCATGACACGGATCTGTCCATGTCAGAGGCAGCGTTACAGCTGAGAATGACTCGATCAGCCTTCTAAGTCTTTCGAACAATTTTCTGTTGCCAAACGTGGTGCGTCGAGGAATCAATTTCATGATCTGAGCACTAGACTCAAAAGTGATACTCAAGAATGGAGCACATCGGATGTGACGTGGGAATGATAAATCCCACGATTCCAACGAAAAATTGTATCGGGATAACGGGAGTGCAGGTCAAGTTCCATCAGAGTAAACTTCCAGCTTCTCGAGGGCCAGTCTATGGCCACAAACAACAACAGGGGACGAGAGCAAATTATTGGTGACGATTTTGAATTGCCCATCACTATGACAAACGGAGCCGCTTCCGTAGCTTTCTGTACTTACTTGCATGCCTGTAACGCATAATCGTGACATTCTTCCGTACTGCGCCCAGATGCGACGACAAATGGCAGAAACGGACAACAAAAGCAGGACACGAAGGACACGAAGGACACTCGGACAAGTTCTTCGGCAAAGCAAGTCAATAGGAAAAGTATTCTCTGATCGAGAATAAAATGGAATCTATTCCCCGACCCCGCAATCCAACAGTCTAGAAAGGAGACCAAATCGCCATTCAGTACCTGGAGTCCAGAGATGCAGATTCTCAGATATATCTGAATCGTTGACCCTGGCTCAGATCAACACGCCATCTTGAAGGATGGGATGAGCTAAAGCTTCGTCGAAAAGTTCCGGGTTTCAGCACGGGAGGGGGGCAGACGAGACAGGCACAGTGCAGTATATATCTCTGCAGGATTTTCTTCAGCCACTTCCTTTTTCTGTGTTGGTCCAAATCTTGTGAGTGGTGCGTTTTTCTCTTGTTGATGAACCATGGCCCAGGCACTTGTTGACAGCTGAGGGCTCAATTTCGTCACGTTCGGAAGCTGTCTCGACCGATGGTCGTTTTGGGACGACAGAAGGAGCTAGTGAGCTAGCCGAGGTGGGACTGGTGAGATATATGATGCAAGCTAGATGTTCCAATCGCCGTCCCGGATCAATCAGTGAGTGATACGTGGGTGGGTTGGGATCTTTGGGATATTTTCTATCCCAAATCTACCTCAGTTCGCCCGATGCTGGTCATCTGACTTACTTTTCACAGATCGCCCAAACGTGTTCCTGAAGGGATTCGGCGATGAATTGACATTTGGGCCACGATGTGTGGTATCGTGTTGTGGAGTGACAGCTCGCTACTCACAGCGACCGTGACGGTCCTCGAGCATCGTCGCCTTGTTGAACAAAAATGATCTGCACCATGCCCAAGTGAGTTCCAAGTACTCGAGTTCACAAATCAAATCACTCAACAGCGTGCACTGCAATGCACTTGAAGATCGGCTGTGATATAATGCTGAAACAAGTCCTTCTCTTAGCTCAACTAAATTATGGTCCAGGGACCTTCAACTTCTGCTCAAGGCACCACCGCTACTCATGTCTATTGACTACTTTCACACATTTGTGTTAGTTTCGTCGTAATGTCATTGCCGATTGATAAGGGCAGATCTGACACTAGGAGTGACTAGAGAAAAAATCATCCCAGACTAAACGTGGGGAACGTGGAGAACACGACGACAGATAATTCACAAATTCTAGCTCGGTCTCACAAGCTGATCTCTTCTGATTTACTCCTCCAGTGAGATGAATCACTGCATCTCTTCTCGACATTTTCGGATCCGTCTTGCTACCTCATCGACTGGGGATCCACTGTGAGATGCCTTTGAGTAATTTTCCTCTGACATCTGAACCTACTAAAGCACCGAGGGCCTCTTCCAGCGTCCACTACAATATGAAAGCAAGCAGAGAGCTACATTCGCAGAGGGCAGGTTCACAAGGTCGGATTCATGCTTTATTTATTATTTCGGCACTGTATTGATCAGATATTATGTCACATCTTTAACGTAGCATGAGCGTTGGACCTTTGACGAGAGGAACTCATGAAAGAAAGCAACTGTCTGCTACTGCTGCTTTTGTTTATGTAAAGTACGAATCTTGTAGAGAGTGGAGATTATTGCGTCCCGATTGTAAGGCTAATGAACATGAGTCCAAGAACCCTCGTGGCGAAAGAAAAGCTTTCCTTACAGAATCGAAAGTGCTCACAGGATTTACCTCAGCTTTGAAACAATGAGAAGAATCAGACGCCACAAGGAGACCGAACGTTCGTGGACGAGATCAGAGTTTCGTCCATGAAGAACTACCGACGACAAACGCAGCACTGACCGCCACAAATGACGTATGCATTCAACGATGCCCCCCGATATTCGCAAACTATTGCAACTAAAAACAGTTTCCACTTTGTTGCTAAGAGGTGGGAAATTGAATATCGAGCCGCTCTCAATGCTCGCGTGTATCGAACGACGGCGAATTCACAAGGTCCTACAGTCCTGCCGCCTACAGGTTTGCTGTCAAAGAGCTGAAGATGGCAACCACTATGCTTCATGATCTGGATCGTCATCTTCATGGTTGAATGTACATATATGATAACTTATCAACTTACACTACTACCGTCGTCCTAGTAGACTTCGCTTTCTCAAAGTAAACTTAAAACTTCGTCATACGTAAGATTTACATGTGATAAATATATCTTTCTTCTAAAAGAATATAAAGTCAAAATGAATCAGGTGTATAAGTAAGTAACAAGAATCCAATGCGCAAAATCCATATAAGTTTAGAATCATCGTCTTGAGTCTCCTCTATCTACACGTTCTATCGCTTATCTTCGATATGTCATTAGTGATTTTAGTGGTAAAGACATGAATGGAATGGAGAGATTTCCAGGCCGCTCTGTACACTCCGTGTGACAGCTGTCACCTCATCCGTTCGGAATGGGTTCTTGTACTGAACTCGTAAAGCCAAGTTGCTCAGCACTAGCCCTACATTCTTACTCTGATCCCTGCTGGTAATAACTTTGTGTTTAAGCTGCAGTTGCAGTTGCTGTGAATGGAGTACTGCTATTTCGATTCGCTTGTAACTTCAAAATGTGCATATTGTTTTATGGAATCCGATTCCACTGTCAGAGAGTGATTGCGGCGGACTTGATGTTGACTTCGACGGTCTGCCGCTGCTCACAGGATTCGTTGGCTTTCACAGAAGAGTGATAGCCAACAACGTCAACGTCAGATACAAATGGATAACGAGAGGACTGTTTGTACACAGGCAGATGTTACAACAGTGAGCAGGCTTTGCAGCGTAAATTCGAAAAGAACAACCCTGAAGGTGGTGGAAGGGTCAAGACTTCAGTAAAAAAGAAGTGTCAGTGCTACACCACGAACAGCAGGTTCCATTATATTACATCGAGAAGGTCAGTTCGTTCAGTACTTTTTTCCGAAACGCAGTTCTCTCGAATTCAGACGCATGTACTCGATTACCAAATACATGCCAGGCTGTGTCCGATTCGTCTGAACTCTCAGGGCATGCCGTGCATCATTCCCGGACCCTCGTTGCGTTGTGTTCGTGCTTTCAATCTACACATCTTCGTGGTCTCGATCCACGTGAGGACGAGAACTGAGAGGAGGAGGAGCAATGATCAACAATTTATCCATCGACCGAGAAAGAGGCTGAACCAAACGTGCCGGGGCCAGTTGTTCCCAAACGACAGTTGTCCCTCAAATATACAAAGCGAATGCATGCCTCAGCTGACTATCAACCAATCAATCAATCAATCAATCGACAAATCGAAACGAGACCGATCGATCTCGCGGATCTGTCACAGCCTACAAACACTCTCTGTTCTACTCTCTACTCCTCGAGCTCCATATCTCAGATGGCAACTACGTACGTACAGCTTCCTTTCCTACACAAAACGACCTACCTACGGACCTGGCTGTGGCAGGCTATGGACGGACCGACCTCGACGAAAGGCAATCTCACAACGGATTCTGGCGAATTCAAAAACGCCGAATCGACAGAAGGAAAAATCGGGCATCGCCCTGCTCCACAGTAGGAAAAATTGGGGCATGGATGGCCATGCATGCAGCGAGCGCGCTGCTCATCCGGAGCTGGGCGGACGACGGCAGCGGTGGCAAACAAAACGCTGAGGCACGGGGTGCGAGTCGAGGATGCCGAGGCAGCGAGTGTGGTGCCAGATCTGGCACGAGCAGCACTCGGCCATGCGCTCGCCGTCGTCGTCCTGCGTGCCGCAGCAGCAGTTGACGACCCAGTCCTCGGTGCCCGCCTCGTGACGGGCAGCCGAGGTCTCGTCGATGCCCGTGCCCTCGATGTGCAGCCGCAGCAGCTGCGGCGGCTGCGCCGAGCCCGAGCCCGAGCCCAAGCCCAGTCCCAAGCCCAAGCCCGCGACGCTCGACAGCTTTTGCCCGTCGTCCGGCGGCAGCTTCGGCAGTTCCGCGATGGACACGAGCTGGAACTTCTCGAAACTCAGATACACGTCGCGGAAGGCCTTCTCGGCGCATTGCTTCAAGTCGCCGATGGTGGCATGCCACGGCAGCACGACGAGCTCCGGTGGCGGTGCCCGCGTGTTCTTCTCGTCCGACGGTGCTCTGTCTCCTCCTGCCAGATGGCACAGCACACGCCAGGGCTGCTGCTCCTCGTCAGCTTGCCCCCTCCGCGTCGTCGGCGACTGGCACCGGTGCCCCAGCCCCTGGCCTCGGCCTCCGTCTCCGTCTCCGTCTCGAGTGAACTCGCCCTCGTAGTCCTTCATGAGCTGCTTCACGTCGAGCAGGATCTGAGCCTCGTCCGCCATGCGGGCCTGCACCGCCTCGTAAACGAGGGCAAGATGTCTCACGACGTCGTCGCTCTGCAGCTTCTGCTGCGCACCGACTGCCGCGTGCTCTCGCTCTCGCTCGTCGTCCGCTCGACCCTCCACGCTTTCCAACCTGCGAGCAATGTCACCACCCACCCACTGTCACAGTCACACACATCCGAGTGTTGTTGTTGACTCCATCACCGACTTCTCTCACGCAATTGGCAGTTCTGAATTCTGAATTGCAGGTTCGTTATCATCAAGGTCCGTGTCAGCCCCGAGCAATGAATGAATGGTTACCTGTATTCGAGCATGCGCGTTCTGGCATTGACCCGGCGGCGGACGATTTCGCGCTTCACAGTTTTGTCGACGAAGCCCTTGAGCACGAAGTCCAGAAGTCCCGTGTCGCCGATGTGCGAGCGGGCATTCTCGCGCAACGTCTGCCGAGACAGCCACGTGCCGGTCTCCGAAGCCCGAAGAATGCTCAGCAGAGCGTCCTGGGCTTGTTCTAGCCTTTTGGCCGGCCATCGACAAGCCCCGTGCCCGGCGTTCGCGTTCGCGTTCGCTTTGGCGCCGGATTCCGACAAAGCTGGGGCTGGGGCTGGGGCTAAGGCTGCGGGCTTGGCCTGGCGGCTGACGGCCTCCTTGCGGAGCTTGCTCAGAAGGTCCATCATAAAGCGAACCAAGTGGCCCAGAGTCGTCATGGCCGCGGGCGACGGCTTCGACAAATGCCTGTACATGGCCACGATCTGCGACAGCTTCTTCTCTCGATCCGCATGCTCGCAATCGGTGAACTTCTTCAGCGGAGCCGACTCGATTGCGCGCAGAGCGGCGGCGTACTGCGCCGGGGAAATGTTGAAGGAGCCCCTGCCGAACGCATAGCCCCACCGCCCGTACCAGCAATGCCCGTGCGCCATCCCGTGCAGCAGGCGAAACTCCAGATTGTATTTCTTCGACACGTCCATGACGCTCACTTTCCTGCGCATCATCGCACACACTCGGCTTGAGAATTATCCTTGACAATTATCGGTGGACCTACCACATTTGCTCGACTCCTATTCTCTAGTCCGCTCAGGACCAGCTTTGACCTCGTCGTGTGTGAAGCAGTCAGCCAACACATGAATTCAGACGATTCATTTCAATTCGATTCAATTCAGCAGAGGAATAAACGATCAGATCAAATGTCCTCGTAAGCAGGTCGACGAGAAGGGGAATCGAGAGAAAGAGTTGTGGGTGACCTTGCTCGCAGCATGGAACAGAGACGATCCCACAGGTCCATGATCTCGCGGCCGGACAGAGAGTGCGAGCCTCCTTCGCGGCCATTGACCCGGAGCAAATGGCCGTATCCATTGGCGTGGATGAGCCCATGGAGCAGATGAGTACGTGCTTCCAAAACCTTGCTCTTGGTGGCGTCGCTGCCACATCCAGGGCACCTGCACGCAGGCCACAGACCACAGCAAGCAGCGATCAGGACCCGCTCCCTCCTTCGCCGCACATTCTATGCATACGATCAAACGCCCACAATAAATAAAACGTCGTGTGCTCGCTCGATCGAGCGGACTCGGGCTGTTGCTGCTCCGTGAAACCTCAATAATTCCACTTACGTCTTCGTCGAAGCGGGAATGACGCAACTGCAGCCCAGGCACAGCTTCCTGCCCTTGCCGACGCCGGCGCTGTCCTCGAGCTCCACGCTGCCGATGATGAAGTGGTAGCGCTTTCGACACACGGGATGATGTGCCCAACCTTCTCTCGCATCACAAGGCCACCAAACCCTCTTTATCAGAACGGCACTTCTCGTCACGTCAGTCAGCGCTCTGGGTCCATCATCCATGCACAGCCAGCGGGCGATGCCCGAATTCAGATCAATCCATCACCCCCAGACTCGAATTCACCAACAATTCCCTCAAATTCCGTCGTGCAGGACGGACTCGGGGTTTTGGCAGTGCAGGGCGAACAAAATCTCGAAATTCGGACAGCTAGAGGACAATTGGGGCGAAGGGGGGCGTACCGAGAACGCGACAGCGATCGCAGTGGAGGGCGGGGGAGAGCGACGGGGTCTCCTCGAGAATGTAGAGGGAGATCGGGGCGCCGGAGGCCGAGCGCAGCGGGAGGGTCCAGGCGCGGACGCCCGGCAGGCAGAGCGCGGGCGCCGTGCCCACGGGCCCGCGGGCGAAGTCGTGCAGGAAGGACCGGATGTTGGACCGGAAGGGGCCCTCGAAATCCGCCGGGCAGCCCGGCTGCCCCAGCGTCGCCACCGAGTGCTGCTCCTGCACCCGCGCCCTCTTGTGCGGCCTGTACTGCACCATCGTCCCCCCGCTCCTCCCCCCTCCCCCTCCTCCTCCTCCTCTTCTTTTCTCCTTCTCCTTCTCCTCCTTCCGATCTTCGCCTTCAGCTCGACGAGCACGAGCACGAGGAAGACGTTAACTTCTTCTTGCGAGGCATTGCGACTGTTGCGATGGCGTCCCGAATTTGTTGGCACGAGTGAGTCGGACACGAGCCTTCCCTTCCCTTCCCTTCCCTTCCCTCTCCTCTCGAATGCAGTTGCGATGCGCTTTGGATCGTTCAACGAATTATAGATCTCGAGCGGAAATTAGCCTCGATCCATTCCTATCGCCGCCTCTTTTCCTCGTCGCAACACCGATCGAATTCCGTCTGCTCGTCGTGGTCGTGGTCGTGGTGCTCGCGTTACATGTCGAGTGGAGTATGCAGGAAGGAAGGCGGCAGGCCCCAGCTCTACGCACTCGGACGCCGTTGCGAGTAACAACCTCCTTATCTCACGATCCGTTGCCAGGATTCGTTAGCCACTCGCTCGGTACGTTGCTCTGGCACCTCGATGCGTCGCGCTGGCGATGGCGATGGTGAGGGTGAGGGTGAGGGCGAGGGCGAGGAGGTTCGATATTCTCGCAGTCTGGCTCCGGGGGGTGACGGCGGGCGATGGCGAGCATGCCGAGCGGAGAGCGGAGAGCGGAGGACGTAGGACGGCGCTCGATCATCCGACCGTCATGGGCCCATGGATCGATCGGTCAACGACCATCATCGCGATTACAGGAGCCTCATCGTTCCCTGCACATTGAGTCGCATCGATTATTGACCGCGCCGGCATTCTTCCCTTCTTTCAATTCCTTCAGTCATTCATTCTTCCATTCACGTCCGCACCCCATTCATGGCTTCCGCCTGCCCCGCCCCCGACCCTACCCCACGCCACGCCACCCCACGCCTTGCCATGCAATCGATCTCTCTCTCGGAGTGCCGTGGGCCGACGGCGGACATGCAATTCACGCCCGAAGAATGAATCCAGTGAGGGCCAGATCAACGCAAACGCGATTCATGCTCACCGATCTCTCATCTCGCTCGTCGCTCCGCAACCCCGAGCCCGGAGCCCCCCCCGGCCCGCATGCACGTCGTGATCACCGTGACGGCGTCGCCCCCTCGCAGCCGCCTGCTCCTCCCGCTCCTGCTCCTGCTCCTGCTCCTCTACGCGACCATCCGCGAGCCATCACAATTCTCGCGCTCGCGCATTTGCATCCTCTTCCTGCAGCAATCTCCGCCCGTCCCTTCGAATCATTCGATCATCGTCGTAAGCACCTCGAGCACCGAACCTCCTACTCTAACGTGGCAACGTCTCGATCCCTCGAGCCTCTCCCCGCAGCCCCCCCGCAGCCCCCCAGCGCGACTGGAGGCGCGAGCTCCGCCTACCGGTCGCGCAGCTTTGCCCCGAGTTCGATCGAGCTCCGATTCCGTATCTTGCCGATGTTCGGGGCTCGTGGACATGGGGCCCTCATGCCGGACGGGGGCACGCGGAAGCACTCGACGCTCGATGAGCGCTCACACTGGGGCTGGCAAATCGAACCGAAATGCGAGCTGCGGGCGGGCGTTTATGGAGCGAGCTCAGATCAAGCCCCGCTGCAGGTTTTCACATGCCGCGCTTTCTCGCTGTCAGTCGGTCGGTCGGTCGGTCGGTCGGTTCGACCGTGATCTGGCTGCTGCCGAATTCGCCCGTCGTTCTCTTTCCGAACCGCTTCTTCTTCTTCTTCTGACAAGCCCCTTCCTCCCCCAGCCCCAGCCCCATCCCCACCCCCCGCGACCTGGATCGATTCTCTTCGCCTTCGAGCTCGCTCACATGGCGAACCGGTTCAATTATTCACGTTCACACCGCACCATCCGCACGCTTCGAACAGAGCTCGAGCTCGGACAGCAAACGCCGAATCGCACGCGACGCGTGACCTTCGCGCTTCTCTTCTCTTCTCTTCTCCTCTCCTCTCCTCTTGTCTGAGCGGCGGCTTGGTCTAAAAATAGCAGAAGTCGCGACGACGTCCCGATCGAGCTCGAGCTCGATTCGAATTTCGAACGATGGATGGATGGATGATCGGGAGCGCATGGGTCCAGCCGGATAACGTTCTTGGTTCTCTTCGTTTTGCGCCGCGGCGTTCGGACTCGACTCAAGGCCGTTGCCACGTCGGCCGGACACCTCGCTTAGCTGTACATTCCCCGGGGGTTGGGGATGGACCCTACGACGGGAATCGCCGGTTGTGCACATCCGATCATACGATGAGCTATGGTATGATTCATGCATGAGTTAATACCAATTCAGTAATGACCTCAGTCACTTCTGCTTATATTAAGTTGATTTAGGTTTTAAGAAAAAAGTTGATGATGATTTTGATATATTACTATGAGACCGGTGAGTGAATCCGAACAACTGATCTCGATTCGTCCTTGCATTGCTAATATTAGGAAATTGATTTTGAAAACAAGGACCAACTCCCCGCTCAGGATACATCTCCGGTGCTAGTCCGCCGGAGATTAATTACAGCGGACTCGACCAGTCCGCAGAACTGCGACCGTCATTCTCTTCTCTCTGCGTCATTTCTTAGCGGCTTTCGACGTCAAAGTGGCAGCAGCGTCGCTTGGCCACGGTCCGGTCCGGACCGACGGTTAACCGGTTCTAGATTTTTCGTTTGAGTCTTGAATCTTCATAATCCAAAACTGTAGGTATAATTCGTGACTCAGTGTAATGAGAAAATTCATTATCACACCTTTAGCCTGATTTCGGCCTCATTGCAAAACGGAAATGTTTTGACGGGCCCCACACGAACCCTGAACTCACGACGAAGGAATAGGAAGAAATCGAGCGCTCAGTTCGAGTCTGATGGGGATTTCAATCCGCTTCAAAATTTTAGTTGCTCTCGTGAGCTGGTGATCGTCAAATTGCGCAAATATGTCACATGTTGCTGTGACGATCGAGGCTTACGAAGTGGGACCTGTGCAAGGACGGATGACAGGATTCTGCTGAACGTCGTTGTCGCACCGTGGCACCCGCGAGTTCGTCGTGGAATGCACGCAAGAATTCGGGAGTTTAGCCGACCGTCAAAATAAGGTTCTGTATTTGAGAAACTATTAGTCCACGAGTGGTCCCTAGCGCACAGAGCTTAAGGTGTTAGGCTTGGCCACGGCTCGGTCCGGACCGACGGTTAACCGGGACCGGTTAAAGTTTAGGTTAACCCTTAACCGATACGGGCCAAGCCTGGACCGGTTAACCGGTCCGTGGCCAAGCCTAGCAGCAGCGTCCCGCTGCTGCCTTCTTGGCTGTCTTCTCCTGCAGAGCTTTGGCGTTGTTCTGCAGTCAAGCCATCGTCCTGGCCCTTGCCTTTGGCCGGGGCCCTCGCGGCGGCCCGCTGTCGATCTCGCTAATTGATAAATTGTTAGCGTGGTACCAAGCTTTAATTGAGAGATCATACTCACCACCGTCTTACTAGCATACAATTCGCGTGTACTTCATGATAGGCTTTCTTCAATCATGTGGCACGCAGAACTGCCTTTTTATCCAAATGATGAAACACTCGAATGTGAATGGTGAATGTGGGCGCAAATCTTACTTGTCGTGCCGATCAACGGATCGACAGATGGCTCGCACGGGCAAGAATGGGCCGGTTCTTGACGTAAGTCAGTCCTGGCACTCCATTTTTATTTATCCAAAGAAAGCAAATCTTGCCCAGCTTTTAGAAGCGGAGGATCACGGAGCGCAACTTTCTTTCCCTCGACTCAAGACGTCAGCTGTATCGGCGAGGATCTCTCCCTCGAACAGGTCAAGAAGTTCCCGAAGCTCCTGAGGCGGTTGGGAAGCGTGATGACTGGAATAATAACATGAGTTCGTGATATTAATTTTGTTTTGAAATAATTCTGCCTCTAAGCAGTGAGCAGTGCAAACGATCATTCGACAAGATGTACACATGCCTCGCAACACTTTAACCGATATATAAGAAGGGTAAGGCTTTTTCTTCGCCACTGTATAGACTTGGTCCGGACGATGAGTACTCAAAGTGGGTTGTCTTATACGCCAATATAAATAACCGGGAAGCAAAATACTCGTATTTCAATTATGAAGCAAGAGCACGGAGGAAACTGAAGGACTTCGGGATAGTATGGACAATTATCTTTAAGACAAGATTCCCTTCATCGACTTCAGAAAACGACTCGAGAGCTTCAAAGCAAGACCACTTTCGTACATCGACATATATTTGAGCTTACACTACCCATGCGAACTGCCTGCTGAATATTTGGGGTAAACGCGGTCATAAGAACCTATCTATTTATGGGCAAAATATATATACCGTGTACGACAGATACTCTGTGAAAGGTAACAAGACGGTCGAAACTCTGAAGTTTTCCTGACGTTGTCATTTCTTTTTCCGACCAAGTTTTGATGATCTGCCAGGCTTGCTGACGTTAGCTGGTAGAGGCAAGATGGTGCCTTCTCGTAACTCTGCAGCGTTAGCACTCGACTCCAGCATTTTTTGAGCCTCAATGAAGATCATGAAATCCCGAACCTTGAATTCAACACAGAGTGCGATTAGCTAAGATACATGTACACGGACGCAGAAAACAAGGAAATGACAAAAGAGCGTGGCAAGTTCAAGAAATTCGATTCGCAATGCTTCAGAGGAGGCAGTCTCGGTTTGAAGTTTAACCAAAAGTCCTGCTCTTACCTGCTCTTCCAGATCAGTAATTTTCTCATCGCGTTCTTTGATCGCAGCTCTTTCCCTGAAATAGGAAAACAGAAGCTCGTCTCAAGTCCCCGAAGTAGATCTTGTGCATCAACACTAGACTTTTGTATTGACTGTTGAATCTAACCAGGTAGAAACCACATTCACTTCAATTTCTCAGCTGTCCCAGAGAAGTAGAACTTAGTCAGAAAAGTGATCGAACTTTGTCGAGCCACGCGACAACTGATCATCGAGTTTTAATTTTACATATGAAATACACTCCCAGAACTGAACTACCAGAATCAACTTACCTTTCTTCCTGTTCCTTGAACTTCTGCTGCCACCTTTTTTGATTATCGACAAGAGACTGATTCACCTATTCAGACACGATTAAATAACTCTCAGAAGTAGATACAATGGAAATCGTAACAAGCAATGTAATTGATAAACCAAAGACGTAGACGAATTGGATCAACTTCAGAACAGCTACAATCGACATATGCCTCTCGAATCAGACAAATGACAAACTGAGACAATCTATTCAGCCATAATTGAACGGCGATCAGGTAGAGACGATGGAGTTCGAAGGATGCAGTTTCAAAAATATACCAACGAAAAAGACGACTGTTATGAACTCGAGAACAGCTACAACCAACATATGCCTCTCGAATTTAACAATTGATAAACTGACACAATTTCTTCACCCACAAATGAACGTCGCTCAGAAGTAGATACGTTGGAGTTCGAAGCATCCAGTTTCATATACACCAAAAACAAAAACAAATCTGATCAACCAAAAATCAGCTGAAACCCACATATGCCTCCAAAATTTTACAGACGATAGATAGAGACAATCTGAAGCACCTGCTGCAAAAACTCGTGTTCTTCCTGAACCTTCTTCATATCTTGCTGCATTCGTTGAAGTTTTAGGCTCATGGCCTTCTCCACGGCCAACGAAATAGAAGCATCTCTTCTTGTTTCTGCGTCTTCTAACAATCCTTCATAATACTGCGACCATTTGTTATATCGTCCCACATTTCAGAACGGGAACTCAACATCCAGTATTTCAGCGTAGAAAAAGATGCTGATCAATGGCAAAAGTGAAGAAACGTAGGGAAACAGATGTATATCTGTGTGTGTCTTTCATCCGAATATATATGATAACCAATTACCTTCAAGCTGTATCACCAAGCAGCAAGATAAAGACGTACCTGTCTTTGACTCTCCAGTTGTGTAGTCAAAAGATGATCGTACTCGGTTGCTATCTGCATCAATAAAAAGCATCACAAATGTCAGCCATTTACGCTAACCTATATCATCTACTTATTGTGTGGATTGCAACGATGCTACGCTCCTGACAGAAGGGTCCATGGCAGCTACACAGAAGAAAAACTCTGAAAATGGAGGAAACAAAAAACAAAAAAGGAGGATAATTAAATATTTTTTCAAGGAGAGATAAAATTCACAACTCCACTCACAGCTTCTAATTTGCTATCGTAAAGGGCCTCATCAACCTCAGCACTCCTGCTGTAAGCTTCACAACTGCTGCAATCTTCACTGCCATCCCGGCACGGTGCTGGAAGCTCAACAAGCTTCCCATCGGTCTTCGATTGGATCAACCGATGGACATAGTTGTCCCCAACATAATCCCAGACACATTGAGTCTCAAGCTCTAGTGAGTAGCAATGTTGAGTCTCCTTCCAGTGATTGATGGCATGGCCTTCTTGATAACTGTCAGTCGTTCACGAAAGAGTTCAGAAGGAAGTAAGAACATCGGTGTCGACTGTGTAAGCAAAAGTATAGGTTGTCATTGAGATTGGAGCATTGAAAAAATCTAGAGCCATCCACGGAAAACGGAGGACATTACTGCATCAAACCACGCGCTCTCGATACGAAACACGAAGATTTCTTTAGGAGTAGGGCCTTACCGTCCACAGCCAACAAAACCGCATATGACGCATATCCACAGATTCTCCGAAGTGTCACAAATTGAGCACGTGGATTTGTCAGACTGTTGTTGACAGTATCGGCAAACCTGAAACATAAAACAGCATGCACTCCGTACTTGTTCAAATGACTTAACTTCTTATAACTCGCACCAGTGCGAGGCGGAATTATGTATCTACCAATTACTGAAAACATGCTACTTTGCAACTAATTAGCAACGCAGTTGACTCAACTATACTTGAGAAACTTCGACCAATTTGTTAACTGTTCATGCCTTACCTTACACTCAACCTGCTAGCAACAAACTGAAATATGACAACGGGATGTTCTAAACAAAAGAAACTCACAGGACAAGACGAATCGGTCCACTTTGATATACAGGAACTGTGAAAAGAATGGTTGCAAACAGTCGTCAAAATTCCACTGATGTTTTGATCAAGTCTTTCTGCATTTTTCCACCAAAATAATTGTTACTAAAATCGATTTGCCGGCATCTCAACACGACCAAGTATTATTCTTATTGATATTTTAAAAAAGTTTAAGCCCTTACCAAGACAGACAGGGCACGTGGGGAGTTCTGTCAGGCCAGAAGGAGGCAAGGTTGCTTCCTCCGCTGTGTCGGTGTACTGGACATCCGCAGTGAATAAGACGTGGCAAACCTCCGCCTGCAATCGAGAAACACGGTGGATGGTGCTTGCATCAGTTGTTGGAGTCAGGAACTATATCGATTCATTGACAATGCACATAAAGGAACACTTCAGATGGAAATTACGCTAAACAACTGTGCATTTTATGAATGGACTCACCATATGATTCAATATGTGGGGCCCATCCGCAACCCACTATAGCCCGAGACTTTTTTAGGTGAGTTGACACTAACCTCCAATGAAGAGAAAGGTTTTCCATTATAGTGACGGTAAAACTCATCAGCTGAGCTTTGTTTATCAAACTTCATCAAGACACTGTACCTATCCGTAACGCCATCATTTCTGGTTGAAACAATACATCAGGAGTGTGAGAGAAGGTATAGCTGAACTCAAGTGTACAATGAAAGTATCAACTGCGATTCAAGCTCCCTTAAAACTATCCATTTCCTTGGCAGCGGATCAGTCTCCGTGGGCCATTTCGAAGGCGAGCAAGTTAAGAAACTCGGAGTGTGAGACCTCAGCGACCAAGATATACCTGACTATCCGCATGTCTTCGATATTTTGCATAAACGAGCCCGTGAACTGACAAAAATCCGCTCCAGTCATATGAGTCGGAACTGCCAAAACGCACAAATGTTCACTACGACCGACCTGTTGAAATCGAACGATCAATTCAATAAGCATCCAGTGGAGTGAGATTCGTTACATTTCAACGTGCAAACAACCCGTTCATTCAATGGAGACTGCCTAACCAATTCGAAGAACGAAAATTATTTGCATGTCAAAGCGCTTCTTAAACACTCCATAACTTGTTGGTGGATGATAAACACATTCAGAGCTACTAGACAAAGTAAGAGGTAGAGCAATAAACTGCGGTCGACCATCCAATCTTCCGATCTTCCACCAAACCATTAGACTCTCCCCATTGCAGAGAAAAACATCCAAATTCAAAATCGAGGCACGCGAGATCGACAGAACAAAATTCGAACCATTTAAAAGTTCCTCACCGGCAATTGATCTGCGCTGCCAGGGTCTGCAGTGGTGTTACGATACAGGTGCATAACTCCTCGAGTGGATTCCACCCTAGGGTTCCCCGAAGAAAAGCAGACGGTTCTCGTATGTCCCGGTTCTCCTCCTCCAGCAGGGCCTGCACCCTTCTCCCCGACCGGAGCTCCCTTGGCTCCCCCATCCGTGCTCGCCTCTGCGACAGTCGTCGTGGCCATCCGAGGGATCAAATCCTCCTCTGTGAATTGCTCCGGAGCATGGACTTTGACACAAAACATCTCTGCCTCTTCGGCCTCGGTGACAAATCGGCCTCCAATGCACAAAACTCGACGACCCCCTACACCTCACTCTCACTCTCTCTATCTGTTGTCCAATTTCCCCGACCCAAATTCTCTCAGTCTCTGTCCACACCAGTATGCTCGATCCGATTCTGCCTGCAGGCGCAAGGCTACTGGAAAGGAGGAAACGCAAGGCAATTTCGTACGATCCGCCCCATGCTTTCCGCCATATTACTGAATTGGGACACCCTTTTCACTATTTCGTAGGATTAGCGTGCAGATCAAGGCTCTGCTCGTGCTGCCCCTCCCTTCCTTCCTGTCACTACGGTTCTCATGGCACGGTACGTAGTCAGTCAGTCGAGCAAGTGTCCACCGCCTGGGCCCCTCCTCCTTCGGAATCTTCAGCCTTCCCTTCTTTTGTTCTTCTGTTCGTTCGTTGGGTTCCACGACCTTCCATTCTCCTTTCTTCTGAGTATCTTGGACCGTCGCGTCATGCGATTCCGATTTCCATGCATCGTTCTTCGGTTTGGAGTAATTTCTAAATTCTTTCGCGTGCGAGTCTCGTTCTTTAGTGTTCATTCGAGCAGCGAGCGAGGGAGTCGTACGCAGATCCTTTGGAGTTTCTTGCTGGTTTTCATCTTTTAAATGGTGATAAGGTTCGAATACTTTTCCACTTATATGCATCGGCACTTTCAAGGTTTTGGCTCTTGAATTCAACAATTTGCGGGAGAAATAACAATTTTCACTAGTTCTTGAGGTACAGCATGCTTTACTCGAATTTGTACCAGAAGTATTTCTCATTTTTGCAAAATTATATCTCTTGTTTCACTTGTGAGTCTTAACTGATGTAAATTTATCCAACAAGTGTGATGTATATCCTTCACTTGATTCCATTTTACATTCGAGAGTTCAATTCCTTCCACATGTTTTTGGTCATATAAATTCACAGATTTTATCATTACGTTTGTGGTAAAGATTAAAATGTTTCACATCGAAAAGTTTTATATTTTACAATATCTCATTTAGAACTAATTTCAGTTGTAACAATTGATTACATTTCATCCCAGTTTTTTAAATGTTGAAAAAATAACTATAAAATTTACAGATATTACAAGATTGAATCATGTCTGTAAATTAATTATTCATCATATTTTTCTATTCAAATAGATTTTTGAAAGGCAATGTATGTATATATATATAACATTTCTTTCTCAAAATTATGATTATAGATGATCATATATATGAAATAGATGCAAATGAAGCTAATATTTAAAGTCTTCCAAAAAAATGTTTCAGGTAGACATTTAGAACTCAAACTTTTCATTAAAAATTCACCTATGACATTGTGGATTGAAGATTAAATATTCAAATGTGTTTTTTTTTGGTTTGGTATTATACAAATGAAACATGCATGGTTCATTTACATTTTTGCAATTTAAAACTTCATTTACGATTATAAATAAAGAACAAACATATCATTGTATGTGGTAATCATTCAGAATCCATTTCTCTACACATCTATAATGAAATATGTGTGCATAAAGTTTCTATTAAACTGATGACAAGTCTAGTTTTTCACAAATCTACAACAAACATATAGCAAAATAAAAAAAAAATAAAAAAAAAAATCTCATCTTAAAGAAAATCGTTGAAAATGATTATTAAATTGTGCAAAATTTGCACGTTCAATTTTTTTTCTATGATGTGAACAATAAAGTTTAGAATTTCAATAATTAATGTTTGACCTTTCATCTACTTTCTATATTTATAGTGTATTGAGAAAAAAATACTCTAAATTTAATAAAAAAAAATATTCAATGAAACATAATCTATATGTAACATAAATTTTTTTAGTGGTTTCAAATATCTAAAAAATGTCTACGAATTTTTTTTTCAAAATTGACTTTTGTTTTAAGTATGATCCATAAAAAAGGATGAATTTTGTAAATTTTTTTAAACGTAAATAAATTTCTTGTAGAAAATATTACATAAATATTATAAAAAAATTCATATCTAAAATAATACACATAATGATTTATAAAAAATATTCAAAATTATATAATAAATTTAAAAATAGAAAAAATTTATCTTCGAAAATATTTTTAAAATCATTACAAATATTTTATTAAAATTCTTGATTTAAAAAATTAATTGTCAATAAATGTTAAAATCTTAATACTTTCATTTCACTTGAAGAATGTTATTAAATCGTAATTTTAAATTTTAGATAAGAAGATTATTTTCTGTTTTTATTTGATGCTAAAAATAATATATATATTTACTTATGTTGAGGTTAACTTTGGTTAAGGAGTTAATTTAGTTTAGTTAACAAAGGTTAACTGCATATGTAGTTATTTATAGCTTAGAGTAGTTGACTACTTCGGGTATATATATACCTTGAGGGTGATAAGAAGACTATCACTTCAAGCATTCAAGGAGTAAACTCTTTAGTGCTCTCCTCCCCGTGGAAGTAGCCCTTAAGGGTGAACCACGTTATACTCTCGTGCTCTAATACCAATTGTAAACGCTAAAACTCAGAACCACTCATCATCGTCAATCTTGACTAGCTCAATTTTTTTATCAGACACTGTTTGTCTAATGAAGTGATAACTGATGTCGATGTGCTTCACTCTGCTACCATTGACTTGGTTTGCAGCCAAATGTAAAGCACTTTGGCTATAACAATGAAGATTGACCACTCCTTGTGTTAATCTCATGTCCATGATAAGCTTATACTATCAAATAGCTTCCTTTGCCGCTTCGGATACTGTCACGTACTCAGCTTCTGTTGTTGACTGAGCTACACACTCTGCAAGGTAGATCTCCAACTAATGCTTCCGCCGCCAAGTGTAAACACATATCCAGTTGTAGATCTCCTCTTGTCTAAATATCTGTAGTCAACATCAACGTAGCCAAACAAGGACTTGACATTGTCTAATAAGCCATCAAACAATAAGCCATAATCCACAGTACTCTTCAGATATCTCAGAATCCATTTCACTGCTTCCCAATGAACTTTCCCTGGATTCGACATGTACATGCTCATCTTTCTCATTGCTAGAGCAATATCAGGCCTAGTGCACACCATTAAATACATGAGGTTGCCTACAGCTTGTTCATAGAGAACACATGACATTTTTCCCTTTTCCACAACATCTGTAAGACATTGGATTGCGGAGAGTTTAAAATGTGCCGGCATAGGAGTCCATACTCCTTTCGAATCGGCCATGTTGAACTTGTCAAGTATACGGCGAACATACTTGCCTTGACTTAGCCATAGCTTCTTCTGTTCAAAATCTCTATAAATATCCACGCCTAGTATCTTTCTTGACTCCTCATATCCTTCATCTTAAATGTAGACTTCAGCTGGCTTTTGCATTCATTGACATCGGTTTGGTTTTTTGCCAAGATAACATGTCGTCAACGTAGAGTACTAAAATGATAAGATTGAAAGTCTCATCATTCTCCTTCTTCATATAGACACAAGGATCATACATGCTTTGTAGTCAACCTTGCGCCTTCATAAACTCATCAAAACGTGTATTCTACTAATTAGAAGCTTGCTTCAGTCTTTACAATGATTTCAGTAATCTACAGACGCACTTCTCTTGGCCTTTGACCTCAAAGCCAATTGGTTGTCTCATGTAGATCTCCTACTCTAAATATCCATAAAGAAAAGTTGTAACCACATCCATCTGATCCATAACAAGACTGAATGTTGCGGCCAGTGCATATACAAGACGAATTGTAGCGTATTTTGTTACGGGCAAAAAAACTTCGTTATAATCCACGCCCTTTTCCTATGTGAAACCTCTAGCCACCAATCTAGCTTTGAAGATTCTTGCCACATCTCCTACTGGATTGTCTTTTAGCTTGTACACCCACTTGGAGTCAATCACTGTTTGATCTTTAGGAAGCTCAACCAACTCCCAAGTCTTGTTGTCAATCAACGACTGCATCTCCCGCTCCATAGCAGCATTTCATTGAAGCTTGTTGATCGAAGCTTGAGCTTCTCTGTATGAAGAGGTTTTGCCTTCTTCCAAGATCAACGCCATACCATCTTCATCTTCAAAATCAATGTCATGATCTTTGAGAATGAATGAGTTGGCCCATACACCAAATCTTTCATGCGCTCTACTAGATTGTTGTGATCTCCTAGTAGACGTTTTCGTTTGATCTCTCTCGTCTGGTATTGTTGCAATAGGCTCACCAACAATAGACTGCTCTTGTAGTTCTTGTTCTTCAAGAACTTGCTCCACATGTATCGGTGCTTCTTCATGTGACGGATCATTAGTGATAGAATGATCAAACTCCCCCACAACAATATCAGTGAGTAAAGATTTTACCTTGTTAGCCTCCACATTCTTCCCCTCTTTTGATAAGCCAGACTCATTGAAAGAAACATCTCTACCAACAACCATCTTCCTAGCAACTGGATCCCATAGCCTGTAATCTTTCACGCCGCTAGCATATCCAAGAAAATGACATTTCTTGGATGTATGATCTAATTTTGTCCTCTGCTCCTTAGGTATAAGAGGATAAGCAGTACAACCAAAAATTTTCAAACGACCATAATCTACCATCCGTTTATGTCTCAGTTCAAACGGTGTTGAGAAATTGATTGCACTAGAAGGAGTAATTACCAAATAAATTGCGGTATCGACAGCTTCGGCCCAAAATTCCCCTGGTAAACCGGATTTGCTTAGCATACTGTAACACTAGGGTTTAGAGAGAAGTTCACTCGAAGATAGAAACGTAAACTCTGAAGATGGGAGATACCAACAATGGTTCTCCTCTCCCTTATATAGCTCTCACCAACAAGTACAAGGTGATAAGATCTAATCCCCACCATCCATCCCACTCCTAGTGGATGGATGACGTGGCGGATAACCCTAACAAGCACACGGATCGCTGACGTGGCGCACCCAATTAACACACTAACTAACACACTCAATCCTTACCTACAAGCACACGGATTGCTGACGTGGCACTGTCAACTAACACATCCACTCCGTACCTACCAAGTGCGCGGATCGCTGATGTGGCAGCTATGACTAGTGCACACTAAAGTATCTACATCCATATTCAGAGTAACCTCTAATTTAGTTCTAACTAACTAAAGATGGTTACAAACCTCCCTCCTTTTAAGATGCAACGTCCTCGTTGCACATACGTTCAAAATCCTTAACTATCAAAGGTGCATTTGCTATATTTTTAGCTGGTTCCCAAGTTGATTCATACGATGGATAGCCTTTCCATTGAATCAAATACTCTACTTTGGGTTATTTATGACCTCGAATTCGTTTCTTGAGTATCTTTTCTACCTCAAACTCCTCATGATCTGCTATCAAGGTTGGAAGAGGAGGTGATGCTGGTTGGTTGGTGAATTGTTTTGGTCGTGGTACATGTTTTCGCAATCGTGACACATGAAATACTGGATGTATTTTCATATGTGACGGAAGTTCCAACTTGTATGACACTTCACCA